TCATTTTCAACCAACAATTCCTTAACCTTTTCTTTTCCTTTGAATGATGATGCAACATTTATAATAGACAACTGAGAAGAATCAACATCCTCAAGATCACTGATTTCACTAATATTATCGGAAATATCCTCAATATCAGGAAAATTTGATTATCAATCAGATGTTGAATTCTCAGTCTTTTTCAAGATGTTAATTTGTTCAGACTTGGTCAAAGTTTCATTCACAATGTTAACCAATTCATTCGAATCAAGATATTCATCTACTTTAACTATTCCATATTTATATCTATCATCTGGAACTTTGTTAAAATCAACAATTTCTTTTTCACAGTCATACGAAATGTTATTACTGTAGCTCTTTCGTATGCTAAAAAAGGCAATAATTTTCTATGTTGTTTTCTGCTAATTTCGCATGAATGATGAAGTTCAGTTAATTTTCCATACAATCGTTTAGCCGAATTACAGTAGATGTTTCTTTGGGCTAACGACAATTTTGAATCACTAGATAAATTGTCTCTATCAACCATGATATTAGTGATTTGTAGGTCTAAACACTCTATTCTAGCCTTTTTCAAATCTAATCTCTTTTGAGTCTCTAGCAATTGATCAGACAACTTCTTAGCCTCATTTCTAGCAGATATCACAATTGAATCGAAATAAGTAACAGTTTCGTCAAATGAGACTTATTCAGAATTATAAGCATGTACTGGAATATCAAAGGATTCAAGAATGTTACATACGTTTGTAGTCATTGGCAACTTGTCAGCTGTGTTCGACGCGAAGCATCTCCCATAAGCTTTGTATGTTTCCTCTTCTGAGTCTTCTTCTAGTTTTGCATACATTTCTCCATGAGTCGGATGTCTCATTTATTCATCATCTGATCCAGATGATCAGATTTGATATGTACCATCCCCTTCTTGTTCACCATGAGCAACCAATGAAAGATTCTTTGCCTTTGCACGCAGCTCTTTAATTTTCTCCACGTAGTACGCTTCATCCTTCGTCTTGTTCTTCTTCTCATCCCTCTTCCTCAACATGCAGTCATTTGCTAAATGACTAGGACCATTGTAGTAATGACAATCCAAACCAGTATCTCCCTTCAACTTTTTCTCTGTTTTTCCTTACGTAAGTTTCGTTTCTTTCTCTTCCTCTTTCTTCTTCTCATCCATAACACTCTTACTTGCGAAGGTTCCTTTTTGTATCTGATGACTTTGCCTTCAGATTGAATGGATTTTTGAAAACCTTTTTCACCCGATTGTTACAATATAAAGAAATCGCTTCATCATCAGAGTTAATGATAAACCCTTCATCATCATCAGAACCATCTTTCTCTGCTTCTCTTTCAGAAATCTTCGAAACCAATGCTGGTGGACCACCTAGGCTTGCCATTGACTCTTCAGCAATTTCATTTACTTCACTTTCGTGTGACTTTAGATGATTGTAAACATCATTCAGGGTTGACGTATCAAAGCTCTGTTGAGCTTAACCATCATGCTCACATTACGCCACTCTTTACGAAGACCCATCACAAAATCAAATTGTACTCCATGGCTGACCTGGTGATACCATATCGATTGCATCGATAGATCAATTCGTTAAGACGATCATAGTAAACTTCTATGGTTTCACCATCTTTTTGTTGAAAATCTTTTAGCTCCACCAGGCATTGTTTGACTGAAGTGATTTTAGTCTTTTCACTTCCCTGGAATTTATCCTTTAAGTTGTTCCAAATTTCCTTTGCAGTAGTACATGATCTCACATAATTGTACACCACAGGAGGGAAAGCCCCTCGCAACTCCATCATACATCTTTTCTCCAGTTGCTTAAGACGAGTGGATTGATTCTCTACCTCGGAATTTCCAGATGATGCACCGATTGGTTGAACATTTGATGGTAGATTGCGATCACTAGAAATACAGTTCCATAGCTCTTCATCCAGACCATTAAGATAATCTTGCATACGATCCGCCCATTGATCTTAATATTCAGGAATCAGCATAGGAATTTTAGTGGATGATCCTAGAAGATGAGAGAATGAAGTCATTGAATTCAAATTGAAAGTCACCATTGACGTACAGAAGAAAAAATTTGAGATTTTGAAGAAAACTTTGAGAAATTAACAACAAACTATATGATTCAAACCAGAATAACTAATAGAACACTCGATTCTAAGATTCAATAGCAGAATCGAATCACAGACAAAGATCTAATGCAAATTTTCACTTTTCACAAAAGTGGAAAAAACTTTTAAACCAGACAACTGATTTAAAAAAAAATTTAAAAAATTAAAATCAGATCAAAGAAATGATTCCTGATCCGATACCAATTTTTGTAACAAAGAATCGAGTATGAAATTAATCAGAGTATCAAATGATCAAACACTTGTTTACGAGATTAGAACACAGATGTAAATATAATTTCTGATTCAACTCTATTACGCTTCTCAATTTTTACAGAGTATAAATGAATATTCTGTAAAGACCTCGTCGCTATGACTCTAGTAAACACTCCTATTTATAGGAGAGGAAAAGCGTACAAAAAATATTTGAAGGACTAAACATTAAGTTCTGAATATAATGCCTTAGAAAAATACATTACATAACATACGAAGACATGAGACCCTTCGTATACAGACCTAAGCCCTTCGACTAATTACAACATTATTACCCTTACAGTGTCATCTTCATTTATGACATGGCCTTTCTTAACAGGGGCTTTCTTGATACGCATTGCGTGTCATTAACACGCGCGTCGTCGCGTGTCGTCTTCCTTTATGACATGGCCTTCCTTGATACGCATTACGTGTCGTAAACGCATGTCATAATTGCGCATCGTAAATGAGCGTCGTCTATAGACGACGCGCAAAAGTGCGTTGTCTCTCTTTATGATAGGGTCTTCCTTGACGCGCATTTGCGCGTCATCTGTGCCTTTTACGACGTGCAATGAGCGTCGTAAAAGGTTTTTTTTCTAGTAGTGACGACATGTGTAACCGGCTACAATTGGTCAGGGTGAGGATATGGATATGTTGCTATGCACTTTAATCCCTAAAAAAGAAAGAAATTAAGTTAAGGGATTGAATCAACCAAAACTCAAAACATTATAGGGTTACAATGCCATTTTCCCTTTATAATATTAACCTAACAAACTATTAATTTAAATAGGCAATTTCTATTTTTCTTTTAATTGACTTAACCATGTGCACAAGACTATCTGGTCGTCTACATTATACGTCAAAAAATGAATACATCGATCTGTTTAACCTTTTAAGGAGAAAAAAACAAAATGGGAGAAGTTAATAGGAAAAGTATTAAACCGAATGATGAATGGAAATCAATGATCGAAATCGGGTATGGATCTTATATTCTTATAATTTCAGTAAAATTTTACACATAAATTCTTTTCATATTCTTTCTCATTTAGTTATATTCTAACAAAAAATCACACATAACTATAGGAATAATATTACAAAAATATATGAAAACAAACTAGAAGGTAGAAAAGGTTGAGGTGTGTGTTTAACACATTTTCCTTAAAACAAATATGTCCGCTACAGGTTGTTTGTTTCCCATGAGACAACAACTTGAAGTGGTTGTTCTAAACCACCCGAACCCTCAATAGGCCTGGATTATTCCTGTAACATCCAGTTCAAGTTAAACACCATTTTGGAAATTTTTGATTACTTTTTATTTTTTAAACCCTAGTCATCACGTGACCCTACTTGGAAGAAACATGCATCTCTTTGTGACTCATGAATTGATCCCTTATTGGTCACAATGTGAGCTACAAGGAAACCCTAATGTCGGGGGATTTATTACGTATTTAAAGGAAGTGAGGGCTAGGTTAGCCCACCCTCAGCCTCAATCACCACCTAATAGTCCACTTAGAAACCTAGCACCCCATAATTGATTTTAGCTCACTTGTGGTGATTCATCGCAAAGGAAAAGAATAGGAAGCGCATCTAGTACTCTATCTCAGAATTCAAGCATCACCAACATTCATCTTCACACATTCTAGACACTTATGAGTTTCCAAGTTCAATGCTTTATAAGTTATTAAACTTCAATCTTGGTTTTTATGATGGGTTTTGAGCAAATGAACACTCATCTGCTGTATATGCAACTGTAGATGCTTTGGATCTATGTTTTCTCTAATATACATGCAAACTTTAAAGTTTCCAAAGCATCATCCTAACTATCATACTATGGAGTATTTATACTACAAAAAACTAGTTAGAAAACATACCTTTTGGAGTAGTTGAAACATTGAAGCTTTAAGACCCTAGCACTCTTAATGTGAATGCCTCAAAAGGAGCCACAAATCACGACCAACAATTGGAAGAACTAAAGAGAGGTTACTTACACTCAATTTTCGGCTAGCACTCTCGTGTTTCTTCGAGTAACTGATTTCATGCAATAGAGGGCTTCTTATATAGTGTGACTAGATTACGGTTACACCATGCAAACCCTAATGTGCCTGACTCTCCACATTCCTCATGCTCCATGGGTTTAAACCACTACAAGAAAAACAGCCTTTTACGACGCTCATTGCGCATCCTAAAAGGCTCAGACGACGCGCAAATGCGCGTCAAAGAAAGGCCCTGTCATAAAGAGAGACAACGCGCTTTTGCACGTCGTCTATAGACGATGCGCATTTACGACGCCCGTTTACGAACGCGCATTTACGACGCCCATTTACGACACGCAATGCGTATCAAGGAAGGCACTGTTATAAAGGAAGACGACACGCATTCGCATGTTGTAACCTTACGACGCGCGTGTTAATGACACGCAATGCATATCAAGAAATCCCCTGTCAAGAAAGGCCATGTCATAAATGAAGATGACATACAGTTTTGCGTATCGTAATTTTAAATGTTTAAAAAAAATATTATTTATAGATTTACTTATTTTCAAATTAAATTTGTATTTTATGTTTCATAATAGAAAATAAAATATCATATACAAAAAATAGAATCCATTGCATAAATTGCATAAGCTTAATGTCATCCAAAATAAAATACCATACATAAGAACAATAATTCATTTAAAAAAGATATCACATGTCAAACAAGTTACCTAACATTACATAACAAACAACACTACATGTCAACAGTAATAACACTTAAAATATTCTTTTTCCTGCATTTGGTGCACCCACTATTCCTATATCAACAACCAACCTTAGGTCCAATTCCAACCACCTGTAATATTGACCTTAATCAGTTCAATTGTACGTGACTAAATGACAATACTTAGATATAACTATTGTAGTGCAAAGAAAAAAAAAACATACGGGAGACTCTCCAATATGCAATGCTGGCATTGTGCGACCATGCTCTAGCAAAATATCACCTAAATGTTGCATTGCAAGCCCAGACTGCATGGCTTCTGATTGGATTTGGGTTCTCACTGTTACATCAGTAGTACAACCTTCCTTAGTGCAAAATCGGAACATTTGAACTTCTTTCTTCTGCCCAATTCTATGAGTACGATCCTGAGCTTACAAATCCACTTGTGGATTCCTACAAAATTAAATTTATATTCGAAACATCAAATAATCTTCTAGAATGTCCAGCAGCCTTGTCATCAATTATAGTGCACCACAAATTCTTTTAATATAATAAGAAATAGACTTGATTAAACCAATACTTTCATGCTGCATAACAAATATAAATATAAATGTTAAAAGTATGAACCTGTGAGAATATCAGCACCCTTGAATCACGTTCCTTCAATTTTGGAAGCAACTTATCTAGAAGCCCCATTTTTCCTATGATTATAGAAGAATGGGCATCAGGTATAATCAGGTATAATAAGACATTTCAATTTTACCAAAAGGGTTATATGCAAGGGCCTTTCAAGGTTTTCCCTTGTTTTTCTCTTGTTTTGTACATTTGGTGTGTTTCCAAGGGGTTTTTTTTAGTCTTACTTCTAGAAGCAGTCACATTCTCTATTTGATGCTCAGGACCTAAAATTCCAAGATAAAAGTGTAAACATGTATCTCAAGTTATATATGCCTTATGAACTAATACCTGAATTTTGAGGTTCTGTTTGAGTGATAAGTATGTTGACTCGAGAAGAAACTTCCATGCTCTTGTAAATTTTCACTAGGGTGTCCATGTTAGGTGCAGGACGAATCTCTGGAACAGTTAAGATTAGGTTCGTTACTAATTAGGAAACTTCAAAGGCTTTCTGTAATGCTTTTTGTTGCTGATGTCATTCCAGCTTTTGTCCTTATTGTAAAATATACTACTTTTAGTGTATCTCAAGTAATTAAAGAGTCACGTAAACAACCAAAAGCAATAAATCTATGTTTTTTTGTTAATGAACTATTAATGGTGTACCTGACTGTACCAAGTCTAGCAGTTGTGTATGTAGCTTGTCTAAGTAATTCATCAGAAAGACCGTGTTAAAAACAATTTGCTTCACAAATCAGTAGAAGAAGAATGATGAATGTAGTACTAAGGTATGATAAAAGAAATGAGAATTAGGGAAGGTGTTATGAAGAATCAGAGTAAGATCAGCCTTACAAATCTATTGAGATGCAAATGGGGGAAGATTTTGGCGGGGATTGGAATCTCTGTCCCCGCCCGACGGATACCCATTTAGTAAAACTTGTAATCAAACCAAGCCAATCACGATCTAACCAAGCTCAACTAGTATATACTTAAAATGCTCGAGAATTAAAGCGTTGTTTTCTAGTAGTGGTTATATGTAATTTTGTTGCCCAAATTACTTTAGCACCACTTTGCAATGTACACTAACGAGAATTATAAATGTTTGCGGATCAATTGCACACAACAAATAGTAAATTAATGAACTATTCTTTAGTTAGAATACAAATTTTGTTTGAATATGTAAAATGATGAAAAAGAACATTTTTACATAGTATTGGTATATTTGTTGTTTTACATAACATTTCCTCTTTTATTATTTATACTCTTATAAAATTTTATATCAAGATTCAAAGGTGGTAAAAGTGTAAAACAAGTAGTATTCGTATGTGTAGCAGCATCGATTTGAACGTTCAAAAAAGTTTTCTTTAGTATGTATGCTTTGAAGCTGCTTAGTAAGTTTATGAAAAAAATAAAAAAATAATAATAATAATATAGAATATCGGCAAAGACGCATGTAGGGAATAAACATGTTCTGGTGCTTTGTATAAGGCATAAGATGAGCAGTACAATATAAAACTTACAGATCAACTTGTTGATGCAGTTGTGATTAAGAACTTAAACAAGTATAGTCAGTCTAATTTTACTTTTTGGAAGAAACAAAACCTCCAAATCCCATCATAGCTGCAACATCAGGGTCCACCTCGATTTCCTCCTCTACTGCCTTCTCTTTCTGTTAAAAAAAACACAACACATCCTTCCTGCATTACTATTTATTTCTTATTATCTTTATTATATAACTTTTATTAAGTGGGGCCACAAAAGTTGGTGAAAATTATATTACCTTCTGTTCTTTTTTCCTTTCTCGCCTTTGACGCTTCTTTTCCTCCTCTTCTTGCTGTTGCTTTAAGATCCGGTCATCAAGATCTGTTTTTTATATAATAACATCAGCTACCAAGTCTTCACAAAATGGATCTGGGGAGGGTATTCATGTCTTTTGCACTGGTTGAATCCATCCCTATCCCTATCCTTATCCCTTTCTTTCATCACCTTTTTTGGTGGGATAGAATTGTAATTTTTTATTTTGTCTCTCATTTACATTTTTTAATAAAAGTGGGTCTGACCTTGCATTCTCTTTTTCATGATCCAACCTCTCCTGGTGGAGCTATCCCAACATAGGCACCATTTGATGTGATACCTGCAGCTGAAGCCGGAACTGCCATGGGTGGTGGCACAGGAGTTGCCACAACATGTGCCACCTGGACTGCTTGCGTGCCCTTTGGTGATTCTAAAATCCCCGATTTTAGCCCCTGTGAAGTAAAAATGATTGTGAATGAATCAAAATTAACTTGGATCTATGTCAGTGTCAGAGTAATTCATATGCAAAAATCTACCGAATAGAAAACTAAACACAACTCAAGATCTTAGCTTTGTTCCCCTTTGAATATGCGATGTCGTATTTACCTTACAACAAATTAACAATGATCTAAAAAACACTATTCTATTTAACATTTTCATCTTCCTATGCCAACAGATAATCATCTCTAACCAGTTTCAGTTTCATATTCAGATGATAAAGTAACTTCATATAATAAATAATATATATCATATATTCAGCATTAATTATATATACAATAGTTTTGTGGCTTCTGGCTGAGGTGTTGTTTGATCTTCAATAATCGGTTCACATTTCTTCTCAAAATCCCCTTCAGTTTTATTGTCAGCTTCAGGCCGTGGCAGAGGCGTAATAACTACATGTGGTGCTCGATCTGTTGGAATAGGAGCATTTGAAGCCACTATCTTTTTTTCCCTCTGGACCTGGTAGGGCAAGCCTTGCACTGCACCATTATAGATGAATGCTTCATTATTTAAACCATTAAAAATATCACACACACACACACACACACACACACATATATATATATATATATATATATGTGTGTGTGTGTGTGTGTGTGTGGATAGATTCATGTACCTTGCAAAAGCACTGGAAATGTTTCTACATTAAGCTCTCATTGGACGTGCATTATAGCTTGGTTTACTTTTTGTGCAAAAAACCTTTCCAAATGTAATCATCTGGTAGTGTAGCTCATATCTATCAAAGAAGCACATATTAGTGATTATCTTTTTTATATTTTATGATGTATGTATAGTTACAAACTTACAATGTCAATTGATCAACTTGCACAGTCTGGGCCGAAGATATTTCTGAATGGAATGCAACACTGGATACATCTCAAGTAGATGCAGTTGTAGGGACTCTGGTAGTGGTTGCAGAGGAACCCACCCCGGTCTCACTGCTATCCTCCCAACATTTGTGTCCACCTGGAAAACGTGATATCATGAATATGTAAGAGTAAGACTTCACTAACATGTCAAATTTTATAAAGTTTCATTTTTTGAAGTTTGAACATTGACTTACACGGAAGGCAAGATGATGAAGTGTCAATAGACATTGCCTGCTTTCTCAAGCTGTCCCAGTTCATTGCTATATTTCTTTCATCCTCAGCTATCCGCTTTTTTTTTCCTTGGACGTATTTGCCCCTGCCCCACTTGTTGATTCTTTAGATCTTCTGCTTCTGAACTTGACCCTGAGCTTGATGAATTTTCCCCTGCCCCGTTTGGTGGTTCTCAAGAAACATTCAGCTCCTTTGAGTTTGCTTCAACTTTGATTCGCATTCCTTCAAGAATGACGGATTCCTGTTTTTTGGCATCATTTTCATCATGTGCAGTTGTTAGATTATCCGCTTCTAGTTTTTGGGTACCATTTTCACCATGTGCATTTGTTAGATCTTCTGCTTCTGAGTTTGACCCGACGTATTTACCCCTGCCCTACTTGATGGTTCTTAAGAAACATTCTGCTCCTTTGAATTTTCTTCAACATTTTATGATATCTTTTTCCTCTACTACTTCTAAGGGTTTTTCACATCCCCCATCTTGGAAGATAGTTTTAAGGGGGAATTTTGCTGCAAGAGCCACGAAGGCAGAACTGCATACATTATAAGAAAGACAAAGCCCATTATGTTGCTATTATTAGCAGGTTTTATTTCTAAAGGTAAATCAGACAACACAAACCTTGAAAGATGATCCGAAACATTCTATGTGAGAAATACACCAAACACCGAATCAACAATAGATCATTTCCATCTTGAAAATCGTCTATCTCCTGAAAAAGGTAAAATTTAAATAAAGTCTTTTATGAATATTTTTTATTTTAATCTGGCTATATATATATATATATATATATATATATATATATATATATATATATATATATATATATATATATATATATATATATATATATATACCTTGAACAAGATGCATACGCGCAATGAATGAATCAGCATATCCACGAAACATTCTTCTTTCATTTTCCCACCATTTTTCTTTATCTTTTTCTAGATTCGCACCACCACCACCCTCACTCCCTTCCTTCCCCATTAGTAACCTCCAAAGCCTGTCTGTTAATTTATGGATCCAGGTCAACTTTAGGGCGTTGAATTCTTTTCTTTATAGCTTCAAATGGAACAATGGCATCACTACCTCTGTATAAAACAAGTTCATTTTCTCTTTTCTTTTTTTCATCATAGATATGCATACGCTGTAGCTTATATGTAACATATTTAACTGAAACTTCATCTTTCTCCACCCTCCATCCACTTAATGCACCCTGTTGCTATGTCAACATGTCAATGCCAATGGATATGACATTTGTTTCTTATAACATTCTTCTCTCAATCTTCATAAACTTAACTTATTGTATGTAATTTATAAACCAGTTTTTTAAACACAACTTACATTATTATTCTCCTCAGTAGTAATCTCCTCAACATCCAAACTAAATTCCAGAACAACAGATGCTGCTTTTTCTTCACTCTACATAATGATGGTGTTGTTTGTTAAATCAGTAGACATGTCCTTATCCTCCAAATACTAGCAAATAATATAAGAGAGAGAGAGAGAGAGAGAGAGAGGAGAGAGAGAGAGAGAGAGAGAGAGAGAAGTAAGCATGAATAAGGAAGTCCTTGAGATTTATGAAATAGTAGAATTCTAGAAGAAATACCAGACTGCATCGACAATGACAACCAGCAATAAAACACAATAAACTCTCTTCTCTCTCTTTCTGCTCGTTTTTCTTTTCTTTCACATTTACTGTTCAGTCTTATCGCGCACACACACACACCATCTGGGAAGTAGGACGACATGAACGATGGTGGAGGTGATAGCCGATGGTGGCTGGTTTAGGGCTTTTAGAGAATATGAGATATTTTTGTTCAGAGAGAGAAAGTGGAATCGATGAGAATGTAAGCTTCGGTTATTGTATACCAAAAAAACCGATGTAAGCTTGAATGAAAGTAGAATCGATAGGAATGTAGAGAGCCCCAAATTGAAACCTTGTCCAATAGAATCGATTTGAGAGTGAGTGTTGGATTTATTGCTTCCCTTTCCCGGTTCGTTTACCCTTTAGTTACCCTAGTCGATCGATTCAAACTTTCACGAAAAACCCTAGGTAGCAACTGATGGAGACAAAAAGGATGGGGCGAAGGTAGGATTGGATCCAATTTCAAAGAGTAACAGCAGATTTCACTGAAAACCCTTTCCCGGTTCGCTTTCAATAAAAAACCCTAGGTAGCAACCGAGAGAGACAAGAGGGAAAGGAAGAAGCGCCGATAATCTGGGCAAGAAGGAAAAAAGAAAAAGATGTGGGATTTTTAATTTTTTAGGATTTCATTTTTTCCCCCGGATGGAACGCGCGTTCCATTAAAAATTATAAAGCAACATCTTTAGATGACACACCCTTTATTATAGGTGCCTTCCGTGTTTTTATTTTTCTTCGTTTAGACACTAATTTAAGGGAACACAATAATGCGCGACATAAATCCTTAAATTTTTTGAATAGACGACACGTTTTTAATGTCACTCCCTTTTGCATAACATAAATCAGTGAGTGTCGTTGTTTGCACATCGTAAAATGTCACACCCCCAAACCTGAACGGCGGAAACGTTCGGGGTGGATGACTTCATGTGGTAGCGTAACAAATGAATACATAGTAAAGAAAGCAATACAACCATCATATATATATATATATATATATATATATATATATAATTAAAAGTTTACATTTGTCAAAAGTTACATGTTAAAAACCAATTACAATATGATGTCAAAATACGAGATTAAACTGGCGCCGCAGCATCCCTTCATCAAAAGCGTAATGAATACCTGAAATTACTGATTTCCTGGGACATACAAGTAATTTTTGAGACAATGTTTGTATGATATGAAATGTTTTGTCATTGTTTGTTTGTGTTTAGAAAATCCTATATTTTCTACTAGTATAAAAGTAGCCTTCACTCAAGACCAATGTTTGTTTCTAAAACTGTATGTAAGTGTAAAACAACCAATGTGTTTGAAAACCTTGTAAATCAATGCATTTTTTTATACCCCATGTGAGTTTTATAACCATACTATTGACTCGGAATGCCTATACACAACGTTCTTCAGGCGTTGGAATGTTATGACGTTTGTCACCCCAAACGGTGGACTGCAACTAACAGTCAGGGCGCGGGTCGTCAAGCCCGTATAGATCTATACACAAACACCATGATCCCCCTTCAAGGGATTCTGGTATATAATACAGGACTTGAAATGTGTACTCAATCGTACATGAAGTTAGTGTCTCACAAAACCGTGGTATAAAAATAGATCTACTTGTTAAAATGATACGTTTGTTCTTGTATACGAAAGTGACTTCTTGAAATTCATGTTTCTAGTAGTGCGTAAAACTATACCTATTATAGTTTTCTAAAAGTGTGTCTCGTTTGTTTAGAAATACCAAGAAAAGGAATCATTTGTTATGAAAGCATAGATTTTCGGTGTAGAGTCTAAGAATGATGAGTATAATCTAAGAAAGTTTAGTTTATACATGCATTACAACAAATTTATATTTCAAAAGATAGAATGCTAATTTAACATATGTTATATATATATATATATATATATATATATATATATATATATATATATATATGAAAGTTCCTTAAAAGTTTGTAAATCGCATGTGACTTGGATATATAAAAGCATATATAAGAGTTCTTTATGTAACACACGATAATACTCGTGTGTTTTACTTGTAATCCCCCCTTGAAAGCATATAAAAGAATTTATAGAACCTTTAAAAGGTAAATTAAGGGGTATGAACTCACTTGAAAGTTTGGAGATAGCGAGATGGAAAACCGGGCAGAGTTTCATCTCGGGAAACGGATTATTCTCGGGATTCTTGGGAATCTCGGGAGTAAAATCGACCCTCGGGACTTAAGCAAAAAGACCAGAGCTTCGGGTTTGAACGGGCACGGAAAACAAGGCAATATCGTGAAAGAAAGGAGAGAAATGAGCATTTTTCTCGGAAGCCCTCGCATGCTATTTATAGGGGGCCTGAGAAGCATCGTACGCGGGGCGTACGCTCGTACGCAGCGCATACGCGTATGTCATGCATGACCAAAGCCTCAACTGCCTCGGCTTCGGATGGGACGGATCAGTCTGCCGGGTCGGATGGGACGGCGGGTCGGACGGGTCGGTCGGACGGGCGGGTCGGACGGGTCGGTAGCCTCGCATAGGGCGACGTGGACGATTCGAGGCCAAGTCCCTCAGGTACACAGGGCGTACAGGAGTACGCAACGCGTACCTCGGATGAGGACGCTGACTCCTCTTCGGATTATGCTTGAATTTTGAATTAAATAAATATATAATTTATTTAATAAACTTCAAAAATTCATATCTTCTTCATACGAACTCCGTTTTCGATGGTTTTTATATCCACGCGTAGGTGAGACTACGCTCTAAAACTTTCGTTTAGATTCCGTTGGCAAATTCCGAAATTATTTTTATTATTTATTTATTAAAATGACGTGATTAAGGAATTTCTTTTAAAAATTCATAACTTCTTTATCTGGCGTCGGTTTTTGCCAGACTTTTTACCGTTGAAATACCATTGTCGAGACCTTCGATTCTCGTTTAGGTCATTCCGGCCAAATGTCGCTCGATCTCCGATTCGAGTTTTTAGCTGTTTGTTGCTAAGCTGAACTTGGAAAAATCATAACTTCAATATACGAAGTCAGATTTGTGCGTTCTTTTTACGTACGGTCATGGTTTAAGGATATTTAAACATAGAAGAATTTAAATAGAAACTTTTTGGATATTTTATTATCAAAGTTAATTTTATTGACTCAAAAATGTTTACAATACTTGACTTATTAGGCCATTACAAAGAGTTGAAATATCTGGTTGTCACATCATCCCCCTGTTAGAGAGAATTTCGCCCCGAAATTTAAAGTAGTAAAGATACTAGTGAACATGAAAGAGATGAGGGTACTTTTGTTTCATCTGATCTTCACGTTCCCATGTGAATTCAGGTCCCCGCTTGGCGCTCCAGCGAACCTTCACGATGGGTATGCGACTTTGTTTTGTTTGTTTGACCTCTCGGTCCATGATTTCTACTGGTTCTTCCACAAAGTTGAGGCTCTCGTTGATCTCGATCTCGTCGAGTGGAATAACAAGAGTGTCATCGGATAGACACTTTTTCAAGTTTGAGACGTGGAAGGTTCGATGGATGCTACTAAGTTCGTGCGGTAGGTTAAGCTTGTAAGCCACAGGGCCGATTCTGGCAAGAATCTCGAAAGGCCCTATTAAACCCTTCCACGATGAGACCTTTAATAAGATGTGGTCTCCTACCTGGAATTCCAAAGGTTTCCTCCTTTGGTCAGCGTAGCTTTTCTGTTGGTCTCTAGAGGCTTTCAATCGCTCACGAATCTGAACGATCTTCTCTGTCGTTTCTCGTATGATTTCTGGACCGGTGAGAGTGCTTTCAGGAACTCTTCCTTTAGCTAACTGGGTATCGCCAACTTCAATCCAGCACAGAGGGGATCTACACTTTCGACCATAAAGGGCTTCGAACGGAGCAACCTTTATGCTTGTATGATAACTATTGTTGTATTAAAATTCGACAAGGGGTAAACGGATATCCCATGCCCTTCCAAAGTCAATCACACAGGCTCTCAGCATATCCTCTAAAGTCTGTATCGTTCTTTCACTCTGCCCGTCTGTTTGTGGGTGGTAAGCTGTACTCATGTCTAGCTTAGTCCCCAGGGAACCTTGTAGTGACTGCCAGAATCTTGAAGTGAATCTACTATCTCGGTCGGAGATAATGGATATCGAAACACCATGCAGTCGCACTACTTCCCTTAAGTAAGTTCTTGTAAGCTTTTCCATTTTGTCAGTCTCCTTGATGGGTAGGAAATGCGCGGATTTGGTCAACCTATCGACGATGACCCATATGGTATCGAGTTCACCCGTCGTCTTGGGCAACTTGGTTATGAAGTCCATAGTGATCCGTTCCCATTTCCATTCTGGTATCTCCGGTTGTTGTAGTAATCCTGAAGGTTTCTGATACTTGACCTTAACCTTAGCGCAAGTAAGGCATTTACTTACGAAGGTAGCAATTTCTGCTTTCATGTTAGGCCACCAGTACAAGTTTTTAAGATCCAGATACATCTTATCTGAACCCGGGTGTACGGAATACCTCGTGTTGTGTGCCTCAGTCATTACTATGTCTCTCAACCCGCCATGTTTTGGCGTCCAGATTCGGTCCATAAGATAATATGCTCCGCCACCCTTGACTTCTAGATTCTTTTCCATTCCCCGCAGGGATTCACCCGCCACGTTTTCAGGTCGCAAAGCTTCCATTTGTGCCTCTTTAATTTGGGTGGATAAGTGGGAATGGATAGTCATAGTCAGAGATCTGAACCTCAGACCATTGTATTCCTTTCGACTGAGGGCGTCAGCTACCACGTTGGCCTTGCCAGGATGATAACGAATTTCGCATTCGTAGTTATTGAGTAACTCAACCCATCGTCATTGCCGCATGTTGAGTTCCTTCTGATCAAAAATGTGTTGAAGGCTCTTGTGATCAGTGAAAATAGTGCTCTTTGTTCCGTATAAGTAGTGTCTCCAGATCTTCAGAGCAAATACCACTGCTCCTAACTCAAGATCGTGTGTCGTATAGTTCACTTCGTGTGTCTTAAGCTGTCGGGAGGCATAAGCAATAACTTTCCCTCTCTGCATAAGAACACAACCAAGTCCTTGGTTTGACGCATCGCAATGCACTACGAAGTCTTCTATCCCTTTGG